TGGTGGTGTTGAGGTTGTGAGGGACGTGGCTCTGAGTGTTCCCAGCCCTGAGAAAGACCCAGAGACTCCAGCACGGATCTCGCCTTATCCAGTACTCCATCATCACTACTCCACCACTACCATTACCACCCACCTAATCATAATAACGCATACGCATCATAGGACTATAACAAGTGTACGTTGCATTTGGCACAGTAGTGATATTAATAATACATTTGTAGTGACATCGGAAATGTCACTGGGTAATGCCGGCTCTAGTGAAGTACGGCGTGTGTTGCTCTGTGATTGCTGACACCCCGTGCGTGGGTGTAGTAGGTAAAAATAAATAATCAAAAAATAAATAATAAAAATTATAGAAATAATAATAGAAATAAAATAATAAATCACGACGTTTCTTTATTTATTTTTTGATTATTTATTTTTACCTACGCGACTTTACCGAAAAAAACCTAAGAGTATGAATCCTTGCAGTCACGAAAGCTTCAAATCTAGAACCACGTGTAGTGTCGGTGCTGACTCCTACGGGAGGAGATGAGTGAGTGCAGCCAGGGGGTGGGGTAACCCCGGCACGTGATACTCTGGTTGACCCTTGGGGGCACGTTACCCCGGGACCTATCCGGGTGGGGGCTCGGGGGGTCACGTGTCGGCCAGGAACCCCTGAGAGCCCGCTAGAAGCTATGAGACCTTTCGGGAAGGTGGGCGTGGCCAAGGGCGGAGCTGGCCATGGCCAACCCAAATGAGTGCACCAGAAGCTATGTGGCATTTGCTCGAGTCGCCAATGCACGATCGTTCGCATGTCGTGATGAGATTGCCCGTGCATTTGCCAAATCAGCAAGGCGTTGTGTTTCAAGAAGGTCGAGAAGAAGAGGCATTGGAAACTGCACGAACAGGTCGCACAAAGCTCGAATCTTGGTTTCAGCTAAACGTGATTGATCCAAACACCCAAGATTTTCTCTCCAATGACATTCCCTACAATTATGTGCATGTCAACAACAACTGGAAGCAGCGACAAAGAGGAGGCACTAAGATCGTTGCGAGGTTGTACACTGTTGGAACAAAGATGAGGAGCGATTCTATCTTAGGATGCTCTTGCTGCGCGTCAAAGGCGCTACCAGTTTAGAATTCCTCAAAACCGTCGATGGCGTCGTGTACACCACATTCAAGGAAGCTGCCTTTCATCGTCATTTGCTGGATTCAGACGAAGAATGGCATCGATGCATGCAGGAGTCCGCGAGATATCAAATGCCAAATCAAATGCGACAGACGTTTGCGTACATTTGCTGCTTCTGTATGCCAACAAACGCTGGCGAGTTGTGGAACAAGCATTCACTTGACATGTCGCTGGAATATCTACGGCGCCATGACGGAAATGTTGCATTGAACATTGCTTTGCATGACATCAACGCGATTCTCAAACAACATGGATTGTCTTGCGCATCAATTGGTATTCCGCAACCGACAGGACATCCAATCGAAGCTCAGCTATACGACGCAGTGCGAGAACAACAGGAAGCTGAAACGAGAATCTTGCTCCATAAATGGGCAACAGTTTGAAGCTTTCACAGCAATAATGAGAGCTGTCGACGATGAACATGACCACAACAGACTTTTCTACTTAGATGGTCCTGGCGGCTCTATAAAAACGTTTTTTGTACTTCACGCTGCTCTTATTTCTTCGTGGAACAGGTCAAATCGCTCTTCCTTGTGTGACCACTGGAATCGCAGCGACTTTACTGAAAGGCGGACGAACTGTGCACAGCGGATTCAAGCTTCCAGTTCCCCTCCTCGACACATCTTCTTCGTCGATGAGACTGACTTCGCAAGAAAACGAAACGCTACGACAAGCTTCGCTCATCATCATTGATGAAATTACGATGCTGACAAAGCATGACCTTCGATGCATCGATCAGCTGTTGCGCGACATCATGCAGATTCAACGACCGTTTGGTGCAAAAGTCGTCATAATCAGTAGCGACTTCAGACAGACTTTGCCGGTTGTGGCAAAAGGCACCCGTGTTGATGTTATCGCGTGCTACATCAAATCCAGCCTATTTTGGCAGCTTTTATGACTCAAACTGGTTGATAACGTCCTTCCACGTTATCAACCAGTTTAAGTCATAACTGGCTGTGATGTTCCCATCCTACCACCTTCAGATGTTAGTTATTTTCGGCTCTCTGATTTGACATTAACAGGTTAAATTTCCTACACTAACACAGCCACCTCGCTCGCCGAGGTCGACATTACTGCTCTGCGATCTACCATTAACATGCTAATCTCTCACATTAACATAGCCACCCACGCAACTCGTCGCGGACGCCGCTTTCTGATCTTAAATTAAAATGCTAATTTCTCACATTAACATCACTAGCCCTGCTAACTTCGTTTATGACCCTAAGACTACACCCTATAAAAACAAACTGCATTCAGCAGCTTTCCTCCTCTTTCCTCTTGATGACGATCGCTTGTGTTGTGATCAAAACGTCGAAGTTTTTGTTGTTTTTTGTTATTTTCTTTGAACCGATCTATGTGACTTTACCAAAAGATCCAAAGAATATGAATTCCTGCAGTCACGTAAGCTTTAAGTCAAAAAGTCCAACATGCATACATTTCTTCACCAGCATTTATTCAATATAATCGACGTACGTTTTTGCATCGATCTAGGACCCACCGCTAACAGAGAGAGTCCTTTCCTATAAACATCAGTCAGGCAAGCCTGACAGATGAGTCATTGAGTGTTAAAACGAGTCCAGAGTTTGCTTGTGTTGAACCAACACTACTGAGATAATGCACTCTCAAAAGGCCGCATGGCTGATGAAATGTGTCTAAAATATATATTTTTGTGTGTGGAGTAGCAGACGTGGGAAGGGGGCCCAGGAGGCGCATGAGTACACTGTGCCGAACTCTGTACACTCAATTGTCAAGTTGTATGAAACATTTCGTCTGATACTGCTTTGGCAGTAGTGCATAAGCACAAATAACAGAAAATCAGCATATTCTTCAAGAGCCATTTGCCCTTAAAAGAAAAATAATCTGTAATAGGCGACGTTTCATCTTCGACTATTGCTCCACTGTAAGGATGGGGTCTGTCATTTCACAGTGACCACTTTCATTCTGTTCTCTCGACCCCCAGAGCATTGGTCGTAAATATGGAAGTAAAGTCTTTGGGATCAAAGGAATTCTGCATCAACATGGGACCCTTCTTACCAGTATTAAAGTATAAGAATAGGTGTTGCCCTTTTGGCAATAAAACAAGTATTCATACTCTTAGTTCTTTCGGTAAAGTCACGTAGGTAAAAAATGAAATAAAAAAACAATGAAAATCACGACGAAATGAAAATAACGACGTTTCGGAGGCAACACAAGTCTCCAAAACGTCGTGATTTTAATTGTTTTATTTTATTATTTTTTATTTCATTTTTTACCTACGTGACTTTACCGAAAAAACTAAGAGTATGAATCCTTGCAGCCACGAAAGCTTCAAATCTAGAATAAAACAAGTGTTAACATGTTCAAACGCCAAACGGAAACCTTTTGCAAATCATAATTTCTGCATTAAACACACATACTTGTGGTGAACATGCAAACCAAGCGAATCCAATAATGTCTAACCCGCCCTTCTCAAATCCCGATAATTAAAGAAGGGAAATTGATTGTTAAATTGGTATTTTTTCTTCCAATGTTGTTCCGATTGCGTGAGAACCAGTGTTGTCTCTAACCGCCGGGTGTTTGACTGCCTGACTCAACTGACTTTCTTGTCTCTGCACACCAACCGGCTGCAGACTCTACCGGCCGGGGTATTTGACAAACTTTCCCAACTTACTTTACTGGCTTTGGATGAAAATAAACTAACTGCTCTACCCAACGGGGTGTTTGACAAACTCACCCAGCTGACGATACTGGGTCTGCGAGACAACCAGTTGAAGACCAATCCCAGGGGAAGTTTGCTGGTCGCGTGCGTTTCTCGAGCTGGATGTATAATGCCCATCTGAAACCTGTTCTTCTGGATTGTATAACGCGTGAATGTGTAAAGGCTGTGTATGGGAGCTACCACCTTGCACAGACCACGCCACGTGCAGTTGCTAACGATCCATTACTGTACCAAATACACGCAATTGGCCACTATTAGTGAAATGTGCATTGTGATAGACACGACTGTGATAGCATGGGCGCCCGTCATGCGGCACTTCATAGGCAAGGGTTGATGGATCACGTGGGGATTTGTGAAGCTCCCAAATCCATTGCGTTGAGAGGTGAACAGGTGATGATAGCAGAGGAAGTACCTTTGCACACCTCTCTGTGGGAACCTAAGGGTGATATCCCCTCGCCTCGTTTGGTTTTCTCTGGTTTCCTTCTCCGTGCAAACCCTTTTGTAACGAAAGTGGCAAAACGTCTTGAAACATGATCCCCATGAAAACTAGGATTGAGACTCAAAATAAACATGCCCCCTTGTTGTGCACAGCGTCTGGAGATGCGCTCATCTGTAGATATTGTGCATCCCTCTGCGTTGCCTGGTTTCCTATTTCACGTCCAGATACGATGGCCAGCTCTGGAGGCTGGTGGAGTGGTAGTGGAGTGACTGGGAATGTCACTGTGTGGTGCCGGGCCTGCGAGGCCACGGCGGGAGGTATACTGTTGTGTGTACACCCCGGATACGGGATGTAGTACCAGCCCTAGTGGGGGCTTGGGTGAGCGCTGGTTAAGCGTGGTGACACCACGCACAGCCTGCGGTGCGGGTTCCCGTTGAAAGAGAGCAAGAGTGTCAGCCAGCTGGGGTTACATTTGGGGCATGATACTACTGGCTGACCTTGGGACACGTGACTGGATTATACTGGAGGGGGGTCACCGGTGGAGAGGGCCAATGGGTGGTCACATGGTCCGGAAAGAACTCTCAAGAGCCTTCGGGCAAGGGCGAGAGAGATCGAGAAGGTGGGCGGGGCGAGATGTGGAGCCAGCCCAGCCCGATATAAGGGGGGCCCTGAGAGGGGCTCGGGGTTCTTACTGTTGGAGAGGCAGGAGATCCATGTCCAGCTTGAAGAAGCCTACAGCCACGTGGTCCAGGACCCAGCTCATGGTCCGGACCGAGATCACGAACCCATCGAGGGGATTCGCCGTAGCATGGTTAGTTGAGTGGTCACCACCCTAGAGTATGTTGTGTTCATAGTATAATAAAAGTGTTGCTCCCTAAGACAACGTCTGCGACTCAGTTGGACTCACTACAGTAGCATGGTAGTTTAGCACACCGACAATGGCTATATTTATTTGCGCTTACCTGTACCAGTCCCGGCCCTTGCCTAGGTGCCTCCGGTAAACAAGCACTGGGGAGATAACAGCAGCCACAGCATTCCCTCGTGCGCCGTTCTTCATTATTTCTTCTCTATTACAGAAATTGGTCCTGCTACCAGCGTAGTAGGTATGTCATAGAGACTGTACATATGACATGGGGCACTTGGAGCAGTATAGTCACATCGTGTCGGCGGACAAGTGGTGGATATTCCTCTGTGTAATGCTTTCTATATGAGATGCAACCATCTGTTGTTTATTTGTGATGTATCGTGAGTGAGCGGTGTGTAACATCTGCTACAAGCGGTGAGAATGATGATTGGGTATTGAGGGAGGCGAGGTTTGTGCTGGAGTCTTTGGGTCTCGCCCAGAGCTGGGACCAAGTGGAGTCGCATGTTCCTCGCAGTGTTTATGCGGTGTGGTTTTTGGACTCCAAAGGACGAACTGTGCAGGCAAGGAACTGAGTTCAGTTCTCGCTGGGACCTCTGATAATACCCAGTTGCTGGATTTGGACAACAATCGCATTGAGAGACTCCCAGAGGGGGGTGTTTGACTTTTACTTTTATTAATTTTAATTTCTTTCCCCTAAGGCTGTCAGGAGACTCAACTCCCTCCCTGCTCTACCATCACTCCCCCCCTCTGCCCACCCACCTCCCTTTGCCCCCTGACCCCAACCCCCACACACACATTCACTCGTACATCCTGATCTCTGGACTGCACATTGCACTACATCGCACTACCACACTTTTAAATATCTTATTTCTTTAAATACTTTATTTAAATAATATTTTACATTTTAAAAATTCTTGACTGTTGTTTATTTTAAGTCTATTACATTTTTGATTATTTATCTTGTGTTGATCGCCGATTGTTTATTGTTTATTTATGTCTGTTAATTGTGATTAATTTTGTAATTGCTTGGTTGCACCGTGGGACCAAGAGAGAGGACTGTAATTTCATCTGTGTTGTATGTCATGCATGTAACACACTTGACAATAAAGTGACTTTAAGACTTTAAGACTTTAAGACTAACGATGGTGATAGGTATGGTGCTGTAAATTACTTTTTTCATGGAATTGAAGAGTGATCTGTGATCGCGGGCTACTGAGGCAGATTCCATATCCTCAGCAACCCGCGACCACCACTCATCCTTGCAGCGCCGCACAATTATTAAGGTGAACGGGTTTCTTTGTGCAGATTCATCGGGATGAGAAATCGCACACGTACCCAACTGTGTCTCTCGGCGTCTCAGGTGAGGTCGACATTCGGGCTGGCAAGGAGTAGAAACTGTTTCCCTCCATGGGGCCTTTTAAAACGCCTCTCCTTAGTTGCGCCCTGCTATCTTTACACCTTCACTAACCATCACCCATAATATTATGCAATATTGTACTGTGCATGGTTATATGCTGCCATCTGGTGGCGTTATTTAATACTATAAGTTATTCAAAACATTGCCTAACCCCTAACACGATCCTCAAAAGAAGCAGATTCTGTTTGACCGGGTGGAAGGGGCTAACTGGGCGCGGCATGAGCGAGAAAAGAAATTGATTGATGCGGTGCATGAGGCTGTGGAGCTAAGTGGACTTGCCGATGACCGGTCACAGTTTTGTCCCGATCGGCCTCTGTGAAGGAAGAAGTTCGTGAAGGACGCTACTGAGCAGTGCCAGGCTATGTACACCTTGAGGCTAGATGGCATTTGAAGGCAGTTGCCTTCCAACAATAGCGTAGGGCGGAGGAGCGACCCTCACAACTCACGGAGGGTCAGTCGGTTAAAACGCAGCAAGATGGCGCAGTGGGGAGCACATCTACCGGTTGTTTCAATAAACCCATGGCACCTGGTTTGGGTCCATGACCTGCCAGAGAACCGTAGACACTTAATGTGGCATAAAAGTGCACCTAGCCTGCCAAAAGTGCTGTGGTGGCATCACCGCGACCTATTGTGGGACGGCGGTAGTTGTTGTTGTTGTCGAGGGGCATAAAACTCCCGTGTGAGTGCAGCGTCTCGCCCACACGCATTAGTTCAGTTTGCGGCAATTCATGTTCCTTAGTTCATTTCAGCGGGCCGGTCTGTGTAGGTTCATTTATTTAGTGGGCGTCCATGTTGGTTGGTTCGTGTTAGGGGCGCCCATGTTGGTGAGTTCATTTTAGGCGTGTCCATTTAACACGGAGGCTTTCGCGACCAATATCATCCATAATAGAGGTTTTTGGGTTAGATCGCGTAAATATATAAATGTGTCGTTAAAACCCGCCACCACCCCACACAGCCAACTACTAGGGGTTGTCATGTAAGCAGAACGTGGCCAATTCGTCACTAGTACAGCACACTGGTGTGTTGGAGAGCCAAGCCACAACATTTCCAAACTGAGTATACGACGTTTCGCCAGTAATTACAACTAGCTTCATCTGGCGACAGCGAGATTTGTGGAGAAGTCTTACCGTTTCGTTCCTTATGTAGAGGTGTAGATGTGTTGTTCACCCTCCTGCGCTCTTGCACAATGTGAAGGGGGGGGGTTACTGAGGAAACCTACATTATTGCACGTGCATTATGCAAGCCCTCCTCCTAGTGTTCAGGTTGCATTCCCACCGACCCAGCCACTCGGGACGGTCGTTCCCGCTTGGTGAAGTTGGCGAGCCACTAGCTCGGACAGAAGGGGCATTGCCCGAAACATTTGGCTGTATTCGTTGTTCTTTTGATGCAGTGCTATATGCTGGTTTGTTGATTGTTGTTAACCTGCGTTTTCACACCTCAGATAAGTGCAGTTGGCTACGTACGGTGCGAAAGAACTTCAGCGTACATACAATAATGTACGCCTGCCGTAATATTCGGTTCGGCCACAAGAGGGCAACGTAAGCCGCTGCTGCACCAGGCAACGCAATCTCACTGCTGCACCCAGCAACGCTATCTCCACTGCTGCACCAGGCAACGCAATCTCCACTGCTGCACCCAGCAACGCAATCTCCACTGCTGCACCAGGCAACGCAATCTCCACTGCTGCACCCAGCAACGCAATCTCTGCTGCTGCACCAGGCAACGCAATCTCCACTGCTGCACCCAGCAACGCAATCTCCACTGCTGCACACAGCAACGCAATCTCCACTGCTGCACCAGGCAACGCAATCTCCACTGCTGCACCCAGCAACGCAATATCCACTGCTGCACCCAGCAACGCAATCTCCACTGCTGCACCAGGCAACGCAATCTCCACTGCTGGACCCAGCAACGCAATCTCCACTGCTGCACCCAGCAACGCAATCTCCACTGCTGCACAAGCAACGCTATCTCCACTGCTGCACCAGGCAACGCAATCTCTACTGCTGCACCAGGCAACGCAATCTCCACTGCTGCACCCAGCAACGCAATCTCCACTGCTGCACCAGGCAATGCTATCTCCACTGCTGCACCAGGCAACGCAATCTCCACTGCTGCACCCAGCAACGCAATCTCCACTGCTGCACCAGGCAACGCTATCTCCACTGCTGCACCAGGCAACGCAATCTCCACTGCTGCACCAGGCAACGCAATCTCCACTGCTGCACCAGGCAACGCTATCTCCACTACTGCACCAGGCAACGCAATCTCCACTGCTGCACCAGGCAACGCAATCTCCACTGCTGCACCCAGCAACGCAATCTCCACTGCTGCACCAGGCAACGCAATCTCCACTGCTGCACCAGGCAACGCAATCTCCACTGCTGCACCCAGCAACGCTATCTCCACTGCTGCACCAGGCAACGCAATCTCCGCTGCTGCACCCGGCAACGCAATCTCCACTGCTGCACCAGGCAACGCTATCTCCACTGCTGCACCAGGCAACGCAATCTCCACTGCTGCACCAGGCAACGCAATCTCCACTGCTGCACCAGGCAACGCTATCTCCACTGCTGCACCAGGCAACGCAATCTCCACTGCTGCACCAGGCAACGCAATCTCCTCTGCTGCACCCAGCAACGCAATCTCCGCTGCTGCACCAGGCAACGCAATCTCCACTGCTGCACCAGGCAACGCAATCTCCACTGCTGCACCCAGCAACGCAATCTCCGCTGCTGCACCAGGCAACGCAATCTCCACTGCTGCACCCAGCAACGCAATCTCCGCTGCTGCACCAGGCAACGCAATCTCCACTGCTGCACCAGGCAACGCAATCTCCACTGCTGCACCCAGCAACGCAATCTCCACTACTGCACCAGGCAACTCTATCTACACTGCTGCACCCAGCAACGCAATCTCCGCTGCTGCACCAGGCAACGCAATCTCCACTACTGCACCAGGCAACGCTATCTCCACTGCTGCACACAGCAACGCAATCTCCACTGCTGCACCCAGCAACGCAATCTCCACTGCTGCCACCCAGCAACGCAATCTCCGCTGCTGCACCAGGCAACGCAATCTCCGCTGCTGCACCCAGCAACGCAATCTCCGCTGCTGCACCAGGCAACGCAATCTCCGCTGCTGCACCAGGCAACGCAATCTCCACTGCTGCACCAGCAACGCAATCTCCACTGCTGCACCCAGCAACGCAATCTCCGCTGCGGCACCAGGCAACGCAATCTCCACTGCTGCACCCAGCAACGCAATCTCCGCTGCTGCACCAGGCAACGCAATCTCCACTGCTGCACCAGGCAACGCAATCTCCACTGCTGCACCCAGCAACGCAATCTCCACTGCTGCACCCAGCAACGCAATCTCCTCTGCTGCACCAGCAACGCAATCTCCGCTGCTGCACCCAGCACGCAATCTCCGCTGCTGCACCAGGCAACGCAATCTCCGCTGCTGCACCAGGCAACGCAAT